GGAAACCAATGTGTTTGATTCCTGGAAAAGCTTTGGTGTGTAATGAGAAACATCCTGCACACAGAAAAAAATAATCAAGTAGTTTTGGGAAGGCCTGGCAAACTGCTGAACCTTGAGAAGAGCTTCACAAAAACTGTACTTTCCTGTTATTGTCCATCATTTGGGCTATATAGGCTGAGATACCAGGAACATTGGAGCTCCTGGAGATAAAGACTGTGAAAGTAGTATTTTATCCTGGCTGCTCTCCTCAGCCAAAACCACTGCAGCAAGCTGGGTTAATGCGTGGATTCACATGCTGCTAGCACCAATGCAGCCTCTGCTGCTGCACCTTTCTCTGCACAACACTCACCCCAGCTCTAAACCTGGCTTCCACCCACATTTGCCTAGGAGCTCTTGTGCCTCTCAACACTCCGTCATGTGGCCTAGGTCTGAGGGTGCACTGAAGATGCTGCTCAAATGCTAGAAACACCAGATGAAGGGACAACACTTACAAGGAATGCTCTTTAAGTAATACTTAAAAGTAGTGCTCTGACCACTGTTAATTTTCTTGCAATGCACAAATAAGCACACTGGGGCAAGCTCTCATTAGATTTCAGTATGACAGAGCAGAGTCTCAGTGTTTGTCATAAGTGATTCCCTTTAACAGTAAAAACACAACATTACTTTTACTGTTAAGCAGGTATCCTGCTTGTATAGGTTTACTAGATTATTTTCCATGCTAGATAAAATAACCAACTGGAACAGTCAATAATGAGTAGTAAGCTCCAGGTCTGTCACCTACATCAACTGCAGCTGCATAATCTCTCTACATTTTTCTTTATACAGCAGTCATGATTTTGGCAGAATAATGTAATTTAAAATATTTAGACATTTTTTAGCCAAATGCTCCTCTATGATTCTATGATACAACATTAGATATAATGACCTACCTTCTTTTGCTAGACAAAGCTCCAGGGTAATGGATATTTTGTAATATCAGAATTAGCAGTGAAATTCAGAACACTCTTTAGCCAGGCCCTGAAATATTTAACATAAAATAAGATACAACCTCCCTTACCTCAACTTCCAGACAATAACCCAGAAAGAACTGCTTCAGGGAAGCTTACTCTTGTGTAGAGATAACAGATAGCAAAAAAGCATCTGAAGAAAATAACATCATTTTTCAAATCCTTTTCTCTATTTTTCTCCCCCAACCACATTTTCTTACTGCTTTCTGTTGCTGGGTTTCTTTTTTATAGAGAGCAATGATTTATGAGAGAACTCCTGACTTTCAACGAGGTGTAGCCACTGCTGAGATCAGGGAATAAACCTGGGCTCAATTAGGCAAGGAGTAACCCTCTTTTTCTCCACACACACCCGTTAAAATGAACACAATATATTTGAAAGTATTTTTCTTGTATGAAAAACCAACACAATCAGCAGAAGGAAATGAGGGGAATCTACAAAAATGAATAAACAAAGTTATCAGAGGCAGAAAATGAACACTTTTCCACCTACAAATACTAGTCTAGTAACTGTATGTGCTATAGTATTAGTAAAACAGTTCAGAAATGAGTTGATGATTAAACTGAAGCTGACTGAAGTTTCTCAATCTATTTTCACCTTCCACTTGTGCTGCTGCAATCATACACACTTGCTCTACGGTTAGAGAGCTGAGAGCACCATGTCCAGGAACATTTCCTCTCTTAGTTGTGAGCAGTGTTTGATTCATAACCCAGACCTTCTTTAAAGAGTCGGCCTCTGTCTCATTTCTATTTGTGTCAGTTCAAATCCTACTGCTGCAATAGGAAGTAAAAGAATTCTCTGGACTCCACCTCCAGAAGGCAGAGTCTTAGACGCCTGAAGCACACCTCCTCCGACCCTGAGACACATTCGTTAATTCTGGGTGCCTCAGAGGGTTAGACAACATCTAAACCAGCCCAGCAGTGGTGGATGGTTACACACAGCAGGACCTGTCTCCTCCAGCTGAAACGAAGAAGTTCTGTGGAGGCAGAGGAAGAGAAAGGGACGGTATCCCTCAGCCGTGGGGTGTCTAGAGGTTTGCACAGGGACAGGGGAATTGGCTTCAGGTCCCACAGATCTGACAAGAGTCTCAGAATCCAGACCCAGACAGTAAGAGATTATGCTTATGCTGCAGGCTGTCCTGTTCCAGTTGGATTGTTTTAAATATGCTGCCCTTGTAAAAGCAAGCAGTGAAGCACTTGTGAAAACCACAAGTGATGACATTTGTGATGGTTTGTTCCACAGCCTCAGGTCAACATCCAAGAAAATTCAGGGAGCTGAATGTAAACAGGTCTACAAAAGATGCACAGCATTTTTACTGTTCTGGGGCCCTCAAGGAGGGGGCTTACACAGACTGAGAGAGAAAAATGCACCTCCTTATCTTCATCAGGACTTAGTTATTGCCTTCTGCTTCCCCATTGTGAAGGCTGAACACACAGGAAGTAGACAGCTAGTAACACATGCGTTTTTCACTCTCATCACTACTGCAACTGCATTATGGCCCCTTTCACATACACTAGCAGCCTTGCAGAAAAAGTACAAAGAGAATCCTGCTTACTTCTATGAGCAACACGTGTAGAGGAGATTTACCAAGGCAGAAACTGTAGCAAGACAGCAACTGAATCTCCTGAATATTAACAGATGTCAAGTTTAAAGGGCACTTACTAAATGCTAACCATGTTTGCCTCAGCTGCAGGTACACTCTGAAGTCTCTCTGGAATCCAGTACCAGAAACAGTGAGGTCAGACCCAGGTATTCCTTCAATATGGTCATAACAATGCCACATGCCTGTTAAAAAACAATCAAGATCAAATGAGTGTTTCTGAAGAGTGCAAAGACAAGGTTGGGGTTGTTTTAAACCCTGACAAGTGAAGAGTTTTGCCCTCAGCACATCAGGTAAGTGAAACCCAAACACGCATTACTGCGAGACTATCCAGCTATAACATCACATCTACAGACAAGCAAGATCAGTACAAGTGAATGCAGACTAAGCACACCGTGATTAAATAGCTCAGGTTGCTACGTCTGGTGCTAAGTATCAGCACAGCTGGATTCTTACTAAATTTCACTGCCGTTTAAGCCCTTCTCACTTAACTGTGTTTAAACCTAGGCACTAGTTCTCCCAACTACTGCATCTAATTTATATAATCACTTACTTTCCATGCCCAAAATTAAGCAATACATAACTCAGCACATAACTCATTAAGCACATAACTCAGGAGCAGACCTTGAGAGGACTGTTAACACCAGGCTTGCAGAACTGCTTGACTATCTTTGTACAACCTATGAAACTAAGCTGCTGCAAAATGCTGCTGTAGTTGAACAGTAAGTTGGGTTACCACGTGTCTGCCAGAGAGTTCTGAAATCAAATCCTAAAAGGACATAAATAAAGGAAGAAGAGGAAGGAGCCTGCTGGACACCTGCACAGACAACACACAGCCAGGAGCCTGTCCACAGAGCACCAGGCCAGTCTAGAAACAAGAGACTTCCCCAGAAACAAGTCCTGGAACATTTCCAGTTCACCCTCAAATAACCTCCTGTGACACTACACTCATTTTCAGCCGCACACAGTGACCAGTTAGGTCAGACATATTCTGTCCTGTAGGGTGCTGGACGCATAGGCTGCGCACTGGGCCATCCACAGCTGTCTCATACATTAAAAACACTAGGATTCAAAGGGCATTTGTAAAGCTTTAATGAGAGAAACTCCGTTTAATCTTTACATGGCATAATTTTTAGATGGCATAATTTTTAGATGGCATAAAATTCCATGAGCAAACCTTAGCCCAACTGCTCCCACATCTAAGGCCTTCAGCTCCGATGCCAGGGCAAATCAGCAGCAGAGCAAATAGATTCTGCCTGTTCTCAACAGACTGAGGCTTGAATTCATTCAGCATAAACAGCGAAGCCCTAAAGCCACCCAGTCGGGTAACTCGATGGGTCTCCTGCTACAAGCACCTTGCAATACATATCGAGATCTGGATCAGCTCCCTCACAACGCTGTCTCTGCATCTAGAACACGAAGCATTTACGAAGAAACCTGATGACGTTACTGGAGCAAGGCAGGTGTCCAAACCGGGGGAAAACAGGAGAGCAGCAACTGAAATCCTCGCTGACAGTCTCAACAGAACGGCTGTGTGGAGCTGGTCTCCCCCAGGGCACAACACAGCAAGGTCTATTTGCAGAACAAAAGGAGGGCAATAAGCCCTGCCCCTGCTGCTGCTGCAGACCTCACTCATTTCATGGAGAGAGAATTTCAGTCTCCAGATCTTTCAGCATCTTAAAGCTATAGTGAACAGTCTCATTTCCAAACTAACTGCAAGTTTAGAGCAGAGAAACAGGGAATTCCTTGGCTACTTTCTAAACGGGTATTTCCATCTTCGCCCCTTTCCCTACCAATGGGGGTACAGTGTGAATTAAGGACCTCCGGGTAAGCTCCCCCCCAGTTTCTTTACTCCCTCCCGTACCGAGCACGACGTGCTGTGGCACGTATGTAATCCGCCTCTGGCTAGCTCAGGTCCGGTGTCCCGTCTCCTCTGCTCCCTCCCGGCTTCTTGTGCCCCTCCTCACCGGCAGAGCACGAGGGACCGAGCAACCACTGAAACATCGGTGCGTTACCGGCGTTATTCTCAGAGGAAAGGCGAAACTTAGCGCTGCACCAGATCCTAGGAAGAGAATTAACTCTGCTGCGGTTGAAACCAGGGCAAAGGCAGAGAGACAAGCATAGTGGCAGGACGCAGGATGCCGGGCCAGGAGCCTCGGAGGTGCTTGAGATTCATCAAGGGAAATGAAGACAGAATCAAGCGCACTGGGGGCTCCTGACCCGGCTCGGCCCCGGCACACCGCGACCCTGACGCGCCGGGCGCTGTGAGGCTTCCCGCGCCGGGCGGCCAGCGTGCTGGAGACACCCCCCTGCGCCAGCCCAAGGGACGGGCGGGCGGGTGGGTTCGCTCGCCTACTCCGATAACCCCGGAACCCCGGGCAGGCTCGGATCTCACCTGCTGCCGCCGCTGCCGGGACCCGCACCCGGACCCTGCCCGCCGCCATGCTGCTCCCGGGCGCTGCGCATGCGCGGAGGGGCCGGAGCCGGTGTGCGAGCAGCGGGCTGCGGCCATGAGCACCTCCCCCGCCTACAAACGTGGAGCGGCGGCAGCAGCCACCGCTGCTCACCGGGAGTCAGCAGCCGCTACGCGGCACCGGTCACTTCCGGGTCAGCAGCGGGGACACCGGGAGCGCCACGGCTCATGCGAGGAGCCCGGTCTGCAGTACCCCACTCTGGACACAGGATGGCAGCAGCCACCGACACCAGGAGCCGCACCACGCCCCCTCCCCTCCCCGCTATACCAAGTTTTGCGGGGGTATCCTCTCCCAGCATCCCCGCTCTCCCCAACCGTGCCCATCGAGGGGTTCCCGCCCATGGACGGGTTCTCGCTGTCCGATGTTTTTTTGTCTCTCAGTATTTCCTACAGGATTGACCTGTAGCATTTCTGATGCTATGCGCTTGACAGGAGGCAGTTTCCAAAATGTAAAAGCAAAGTTACTCAGTTCCTGCTGATAAACTCGTAAATGCTGGAGAGAGCACAAGGGAACCCTCGTGTGCAATCAGGAGGTGAAGGGCAACACATCGATTTCTGCCTGAATCTAGAGATGTAGAAGTCCAGTAAGAGGCACACAGGAGAAACAGTCACTACATACAAGCAGTGTGCAGCAGCTCATGGGAGGCCTCTTGATTACCACTGAAACTATGGACAGAGTAATGACTGTTAACTGTTTGTACCTATGGATTTCAAGACAATTGTAATATGTTTGAAAGAGTAGTTAAAGGTACTGAAAAATGCAATTTGATTTCCAGTTGTCAGCAGCTTGTTTTGCAGCTTCCCGAATACAGGGCATGGGCTGTTAGGTTCAGAGTGATTGCACACAGTGCTGCATCTCATGCTGTATGCATGAGAGTAAAACCATCACCCTCAAGTGATGTCAAGGGGCAGGCACCCGTTGGAGGGCGAGAACCTGTCAGGAGGTGGGAACCCATCAAAGGTTGGAAACCTGTGGGGGGGTGGAACCCATCGATGGAGAGGAACCCATAGCAGGGTGGTTACCCATCCGAGCGGGTAGCCATCAATGGTCTAGAACGCACTGAGGTGGGATGGGAGCTGTCGAGGGTCTAGAACCCATGGTGGGGGGCAGGTAGTTGTCGAGGGTCTATAAGCCATTGGAGGGGGGGTGATCCTCGAGGGTCTAGAAGCCATCAGGGATGGGGGGACATGGACCCGGTACCTGTCGAGGGTCTAAAAGCCATCAGGGAGGCGTGGGTAGCCATCAAAGGTCTAGAATGTGTTGGGGGGGGGGGGCAGAAGTCGATGGTCTAGAAGCCATTGGGGGGGGGGGGCAGTAGCCATTGATGGTCTAGAACCCTCAGTTTGCAAGCAAACTGCTGGCAAGTTCATCCCGATTTGGAGGTTACAATAATGCAAACCATTTAGCTTTTCCTGTCTTCATGACTTGCCCATGTGCCCGAATTCAGCCAAGTCTTTCAAAACTCTGCAAACTTCAGTCTGAATTTTGAATCTGAAATGAGTGATCTTTAGCACTTGATGGAAAAAGGCTAAAGAAGCTCATGTTCTTCTCATCTGACAAGTAAACCTAGTAGGGTTGCACTAAATGGTGTCCCTTCAGATTGGCCTATGTAGGGTGAGTGCCTGTGACTGTAAAGCCTGCAGAAAGGAACAATTCCAGTAGCCTGTGATCCTGTTTGCTCTGCAAATAAATCCCCAGGCCCCAGAGGAGTTACAGGTGATGTTACCAACAGCTTCCTGAGCGTGCCCTCTTGAGGCTTTCACCCTTGTAGGTTTTCTTAGATGATGCGAACATGCCATTCCCTCCTCATGCAAGGGCTAGCTGTTGAGTGGTTAACCACATGCCATGATGGGTTACTCCCAGAAGGCCTTGGAGAATTTGGCTATATGCATGGAGCAAACCGACATTGAGTTATGTGCTTTAACTGCTCTCCCATGTCTTTCTGTGGTGTGCTACCCCTTGTACAGAGGATTTCCCTTTCCTTGATGTATGGGAGGTTGCAGACATGTGCCAGCTAAGTGCTATAAAAAACTTGAAGTACTCTGCTGCTCTTTCAAGGGAACTTCAGGCTTTCTCTTGAACCAACATCACCTTTAAGCAGCATTTCCCTGAATTTGCAGTGTACATATGCAGACAGCTCAAGGTGGGGATGGATTATTTTAAGCTGTCGTGAGGCAAGGTGCACACAGCTTGATGTGGCAGTGATGTGAACCATGGCTTGCAAAGTTTATTACCACCTCCTTCCTTTTCACAGCAACAAGAGCTGAAGGGTGCAGAAAGGAGGGGTGGAATAAGTTTAGGTTCTCTGCAGCTGATACTCACGATGGGACAGGGTTCCTGCCCCTGTGTGTTACAGAGAGGCTGTTGTATGTTCTTCCTGTGAGGCAACAGAATAAAGGAAGAACAACTTGGGCAACAGCACTTTTTCTGTTGGAGAGCATCTGGTAAACTGAAGATGTGAGAGCTGCAGCCTTACTGAGTTTGGTGTAACTTACTAACTTAATTGATTCATGAATAACTGGCTTTTAAAACAAACCCTTGAGTGCTTACCTGACAATGAGATCAGTGAATGTTTGTTTGGCTTAGCCAAGGGAACAACCAGATCTAATCACTAGGAGCAAGCTAGAAATCAAATGTGGTTTATGGGGCTTTTCCCCCTCAAGCAGTGAAGTCTATTGAGAACCTGTTTCAGTGGTGGAGAATTAACTGTGTTTGGTCCAGTAGATGTGCTGTGACACAGCCAGCGCTGCTTGGACTTGCTGTGGAAAGTGGTGCACACCAGAAGGAGAGAGGCTCTTGGTTGTCTGACAGTTTTGGATCTCGAGCAGTTTGTACTTCCTCGGGGTACAATGCAGCTCTTTTCTTACTGCTGGGAGCTGAGTGAGTATACGTGCTTGCATAAGCAGATAGCACAAATGACTGGCAAATGCCATGGTATCACCTCTGTAAATGCGTATTGCTCTAATAGCGAGAAAAGTACTAGGGTGATAATGTGATCACACCACCGTACCACTAAAACTTGTTCAGAAGGTCATGCTGTGAATTTGGGTTCCTCAAGTACTGGCTTATATTGGATGTTTGAGTGTAGTCTTAGCAGACGTTTATCGGATGCTTATGTGGAAGGAAGAACATACAAATCTTTCCCCTTCCTGGTAACAATCAGAGCTGTTGTTTTGACTATTTCAGTCAGTAGTTTAATAGTTAAGGCTCCATATTTTTTACCATCAGGACTAGTGCTTGTTCCTGCTTGATCTTAAGGTCCTTTCCAATTCAAACCGTTCTATGATTCTATGTGCAAGCAGGACATAGAATGTCTATGATGGTCCTTTGTCACATAAACAGTGATTTTTGAGTGGACTGGGAGGATTGCTGTCAGTAGCCAAAGTGTCTTTAGCTAGATAGCCATGAAGACAAGCTTTCAAGGAGTATTGATCTCCCTTCCTGAGCTCTTCTGTTTCCTGACAGAATGAGCTGGCTGATTGTAATGTGAGTATAAGCACCACAGCAGACCCTTTTCTAGCTGTGTTATTTCCTGGGTGCAGAGGAATGGATGGAAAAGATGTCCAGAAAAGACATGAGTGGAGTTGAAAGCTGACAAGAAATTTTCTGGAGCATCTCCAATGTAAAAGATCCAAGATAGCAACATTAGAATCAGAAGAAGAAATTTCATGGTGGTAGAGTTCATTGTTTCCATCTGGATGCTGCTAAAGGAGAAAAGTCACAGCACAGCTGGTGACCCTGAAAAGGAAAAGCCTCACAAGAGTCTGTGTATTCATGGACAGGGAAGCAATGGTTTTAATCTATTGTCTTGTTCAACATTTTGCCTGTCCCCTCCAAGAGACCTTTTCAGATCGTTTCTGTTCAGCTTGGCGGACAACAGGTACCCAGATATTTGTCCAGACAAGAAGTCATTTCTGAATCCTCAGTTGGATGGTGACAAGTTGATCGCAAAGACCTGCCTTGCTCTCCCTGTGAGGAAACTTAGGGTCTGCCAGGTCTCTGAGTCCTTCCCTATCCTGCAGCCTGTGCATGCACCCTGCAAGAAGAGATGTTGGTACGAAAGAATCATGCCCAGCCTGAGGAAACAGAGGGAGATACAGCTTGGAAGGAGAAGTGAAAACATGTTGTTGAATAGAAGGCAACTGAACAGCAAATCTGTGGATTCTAGCATGGTGCTGGGAATGCAGTTAACGTCTAGGAACAAGACCTAGGTCGGCTACACTCAGAACAACCTAGTTCTCTGTATAGATGTTATAGATGGCATAGCAAAATGCCATTTGCTTAGATTCTCCCTGTTCCTGTGGAGATAGAATAGTAGGGTTCTGGGAGAGTTCATTATATGCTTTGTGAGATTCACATCAGCAGAGTTAACACATTCTTTCTGGAGTTCTTTGGAAGGCAGCTTCACAGGCTTGCCTTGGTCAGTCAGGATGTTGAACAGTTGTTTTTATTGAGCAATGGGAAAGGTCTGTGTTCCCAGAACTACGTGTTCACATGGGTTTTACTTACATTTTGAGAGATTCCTTAATATTTACTTGGAGATTTTGTTGTCACTGTGTTTGTGGAAACTCTTTGTTGTTGTTGCTTTGTTTTCATAAGCATTGAAGTATTTCAGTTGTCCTGAAGTGAAGAGAATTCCCCACAATGTAACGCAAATGCTGAGTGGATGCTTGAGGTGTTTGAAACCTGTTCTGTGAATAAATGATTCACGTAGAACATGAGAGATTTCATTCCCAGATGTGCTGCAAGAACACAAGTCCTCATTTCTTCTATACTATTGGCTGAGGCTGGAAAAACTCTGCAGTGATAGCAGAAAGTCGGGAGGATGTTTCAACTGAGCTAATGTCTGGGGAGGAATGGAAGCCTTTTCCTTTGCTGTCTTAAATCCGTGTTTGTTTTACATCTTTTGGCCCCTGCAGAAGGCTGAAAAAGAACAATGTGTTTCTGTAGT